CGTCGGGACGCATGCGCGCGCTCAACGTAAACCGTACACGCGACTGTCACTACCACGACTTCATTCATATTTTTTCCTTCTAACCGCTCCACCCGTTCCATTCACGCGCCTCGTTCCCTCTCGCGCCCGATCGGGCCGGCCTATAGCAGCGCCGGCGACTCGAGTAGTCTTCGATTGGCTACCGCTGATAATGCTCCACATCGGATCGCTGCCGCACTTATGCACGATTACTAATTAGATTTCGCGCTACTTCTTCTGCCTCGATCGTTTATGTCTCTTTCTCTCTCCCTCTCTCTCTCTCTCTCTTTGTGTCTCTTCGTCGTCGACCGACGGCCGATTAACCGAGAACGACTCAGTATTATACCATGCCGTCTGTTTCTCGTCTATTTTTATCTCTCAATTTCTTTTTCCCTTCTTTCCGCGCACATGTGTCTTACTTTTTACAACCGCACCATGCCGTGATACCGTAAGACGCGATGGACGTTTCGATTGACTGAATTCTTCGTTGCGGGGGATCGCATCGCGATTTAACTCAACGTAAAGCGCAATCGACAGTCTAACTTTTTTGGGCGGCGTGTAAAAAGTAATTATAATAATGATGTTGAGGCTCTCTAAAAATTATGTGATGTTGGGCTGTGTAATAATTAGGAATACGTATAAAAAGTGTTCATAAACGTTGTCTCGGCCCCCGCATTAAACCATTCTCGGTGTTTCGTATAAAATTCAAGCAAATGCAGAAAGTCGGACGCTGTACGGCTCATTTCATTAGCTATGAGGTATCTGAAGATAAACTTAAGACGATATTAAATACAAGATCAAGATTAAGTAATCTTTTCTATCCGCTTGAGTTTTATACGAAATACCGAGGATGATTCAATGTAGGACTGAAACGTTTATAAATATTTCTTACATACACGTTAAGAAATTTTGTAAAATTTTTAAATAACGGTCCATCGAAATCTTTAGGTTACTTAAACAAGGTGAATATGTTGAGAAATAATATGTTAACAAGATGAATATGTTAATTTAGCATATATTTTTGTACTTTTTGACATATTCCCGTATTAAAATAGCACAAAAATCTCAGTAGGTCGTTATTTACACAAAATTTCTCACAGCATACGTATTTTTAGTTATTTTACGCTTCAGCGATCGGCCTTTATCTGCCTTTATTTCCTTCATTCTAACCCTTTTGAACGTGATTGCTGCACCAAACTCCGATTAAGCTAAGCGACGATCAATTTACGCACAACTGAAATGTCCCGTTACTCCCCTTTCTCAATTTCTTCGGCAATAGAAATTTCAATTGACGACCTTGTAAGTTAATTATCGCTCGATTCAATCGGAATTTCGTGTGAACCGGGCCTTTCGGTCGCATCTCGCAGCACTTTCTCGCACGCGGCGCGCTGCACCGTCCGCCGGGATGGCTTTCCTCGTGTGCAGTGACCACATATGTAATAACCCGTTGTTAGAACGGAAGTATTATGCGAAGGACGCGTCGCGTTATCGCCGGAGATAGTGCGCCCGGAGGATTTACCCAAGACGTCCACTTCCGGCGCGATAAGGGGCGCCGAGAATCCACGTAACCCCGAGACGAGGGACCCCTGCACCTACATTACGACAACGCGAACTGCCCCCGGGAAGCGTGACTCAATAATATACGCATACGTGTGTATACGCGTGTCTAATGAATTTAGAATTAATGCGCCGCGGTGTATCGTGTAGAGCGAGCGGCTAAGTTACACAATTCCAGGCTTTATTTGCGCGCAGGCCGCGTGGGAAAAATCTGCGGCGGTAGTACGCGCGCGCGTACACACGCGCTCGAGCGAAAGCCCGTGATTTCCGTTCGCCTCTTCATCAAAAGACGCGGTCTCGATTTCCTGCTTAATTACGCGCCCCGTCGCTCGTCTATCGCGCCGCGGGAGGAGCGAGCGAGCGCGCGTGCATACCCACGTGGGAAATTCCGTGAAAGTCTTGCAAAACCGCTACGCGTATGAAGCTGGTTACGCCGCGCGCTCGTAAATCCTGACAATTAACGGTAAAGCGATTATGAATCTCGGAGCTGAGCGTGCGCGGCTCCAGAGACGTCGCGAGGCTTCGAAATCGATTCGGCCTTCTTATCCTCTCTTCCCGATTTGTCCCTTCCTCGCTGCACCGTCGCCTCCGTTATTGTCGGAGAAACCTAAACGTTCGATCGCGAGGAGTAGTAGCGCGTGTAACCTTGTGCTTGTTCGCCGGAGCAACAAAGGGGAAAGGTGGCAAAATCCTCGCAAGTTCACAAGCGAGACGTCCACGTCCTCTCTCTTTCCCGCGTTTCTCAACGCGATCCATCGATCCCGCCGGTTACCCGCTGCTCCTCTTGCCCCGGAGGTACTCTCATTTTTTCCCTAAGAAGGACCGATAGCCTAGATTGTGAGAATCTCCGCCGAGTCACGGCTTGCTCCGCGAAAATGCCCAAACACACGCACAGACGGACGCCCGTGAGAGGGTACGTCGCTTTTTGCAAATTGCTCCGCTCGACGAGTCCGTGAAACCGCGTACCTTCGATCCCGGATGTGCGTACTGTTCCGTCGCGTCAGCGAGATTTGTGTAGCGCGAAAGATTCTTCGCAGAGGAGAGTCGCAAGGAGGACACAAAGTCCAGTCAATAAATCGCTTCTTCCGTGCCCATTGTGATTCTACAACGTTGATTTTCAATTCTCCCGATCGCGCGTTAATTCCTCCCGATTTTTTCCCGGTAATCGATCACAAGCGAACAAGGGAAACAAGGGGAAGAAGTTCAGAATGGAAGGGAGAAAGTGAGACGGAGGATGAGCGAGGGAACGAGAGATGACCGGTGTACGAAAGAGAAAGAGAGAGAGAGAGAGAGAGAGAGGGAGAAGCGAGAGAAGCGAGAGAGAACGACGCGGCTCGTGGAGCTGTGCGAAGAGCGAAGAGAGGCAAAGGGGGAGAGGAAGCGGGCCATTGCGCCATCAGGAAGTGGCTCACCACTTACACACGCGCGCACGGTTAACCAACGTGAACCAACACATAGCGGTGGGCACCGACACACGCTCTCGTCTGTGCCTAGCTCCGTGCACGAGCAGGCAGGCAGACGGACTTAACGCACCGAGATAAGAAGGGAATACAGGCAGGCACCAGCGTCAAAAGAGAGAAAGAAAGACAGACAGAGGGACAGGAGAGGACGAGAGAGAGAGAGAGCGCTCTGTGGTGGGAGGGTGAAGGGATAGTCGCGCGAGCGGTGGTTTAACCCTGCGCACGTGTGTGTAAGTGCGCGCATATATGGCGTACACGCCGAGCGGAGAGAAAGAGAGAGAGAGAGAGAAGAGCGTGACGTGCGCGCGCGCGCCTTTACTTACCGGACACCGGGTACATGTCAACCCCGTAACGGCCGGCCGTCATGCCACAGGCACGCAGATGATCCATCCACGCGGCGGACCGTCCTCAGGAAATGAATGGACGCCGGTGGATCGCCCGCGGGAAAAACGTCGCGCATTTATTTCACGCTGCGATCGCACTCGTGCGATACTAACGGCGATAGCGGCGAAAACTCGAGAGTACAGCCGCGAGATAAAGCGGAGATGTGTCTGCCGAGACGCGCCTTCTCGGCGCGTGAGATCCGAGGCGAGAGGAGAAACGGAACGTCAACAGTCTCGCGGCTCGCTAAGTGAGAGAGACGACGATTTGATAGCTGTTTAATGTCACAGCTGTTCGACGCGATAGTTGTCGCTCTTTCTCTCATAATCGTAAAGAAACAACCGGTCCTCCATTCAATTCCTCCGCGAATATTCTCGGTTTCTTTTCGCGGAAGAGGCGAAGGAACGTTTCTTTCTTTCTCTTTCTCGAATTTCTTACGCGGAAAAATCGAAGAGAAACGGTGATTCTAACTGTATTTTCTTTCATAATCTCGCTTTTATCTTCTTATCTTCGCTGATTAATGATACCGTCACCCGTGTCAACGTTCCCCCGACGCACGTCGTTCGCACTCCGTACGCAGCGGTGATCCCCTCGTCACCTGGTCCTTCATTCGGTCGAAACGCGCATAACGCCTCCCTCCTCCCTCCCCCTC